GGAGACCTTGAGAACCACAAGCAGCTGGCCAACTCACTGGCTGTCCTATAGGGTGGATCTCTATGGTTCTCCAGCACCCGCAGAGGCTCATGTGTCGTCAGAGCACTCTGGAGGCCACACTTGAGCTGCTGTGTGAAATGGTTGCTTTCCTCCCTCCCTTCCATCCTTCCTTCCCCCTTCCCTCTCTTCCTTCCTTTCATTTCCGTTCTCTCCTCTCATCTTTCATTTCTTTCCTCTTCATTTGATTTCTCTCCTTTTCTTCACTCTCATTTTCTTTCTTTTTTCCTCCCTCCCTTCTTTCTTTTTTCTTTTCTTTCTCTCTTTTTTCTTTATATATGTGCATGTGTGCTTGTGCATGTGTGAGCCAGAGATCAACTTTCGGTGTCATTCCTTCGTTTTTGAGATATTGTCTCTTGCTGGAATCTTGGGCTCTCTGATTAGGCTAGGTAACTGGATAGTATGGTCCAGAGATCTTTCTGTCTCTACCTCCCCAGGGCTGGGATTATAGGCACTTAACACCATGCCTGGCCATTTGTTGATCTCTCTCTCTCTCTCTCTGTCTCTCTCTCTGTCTCTCTCTCTGTCTCTCTGTCTCTCTCTCTGTCTCTCTCTCTCTCTCTGTCTCTCTCCCTTCATCCCTCTCCCCCTCCTCTCCCTTTCCACCTCTGTATGTGTGTGTTATGGTGTTTGTGTGTACAAATGTGTGTGAGGGTAGTATTGTATCTCTTATGATTATAGCAAGGTCCCTCACTGAACCTGGAGGTCACTTATTGGCTACCCTGTTAGATGAATGAGTTATGGGGATCTGCCTATAACCACACCCAAGCACTATAAATAAGACACACATGGCCTTGCTTGACTTTCTCTGTGGGTCCTGGTGATCCAAACTCAGGCCCTCACTCTTGCATGGCAGGCATTTTCACTGACTGAGCCATCTCACTAGCCTTGGCTTCTTTAGTTTGTTTGTTTGCTTGCTTTTTCATTTTTTAAAAACATTTTTAGCGTTGCAGCTATATTTAACAGAGGGTGCAGAGATTTTTTTCCCTCATCTACTATGTTACCATCTTTGACTCTACCATAGCACCTCATTATCACTTAAAGTTCAAAGTCAAAGTTAGGGGTCAGGGTTGGTAGAGTGCATTCCATGGGTTTGGACCAGTGTGTAGTCATGAGTATCTAATGGTGTTGTCTTCCAGAGTGGTCTTCCTACCCTGTAAACTGCAGCACTCCATCCATTCATTCCTCTCTGGATTCACCCAGCCTCTGGCAGCCCCCTTTTATGGAGTGATATGAAGTTGGGACTACACAAGTTGGGTTGGTGCGTTTCACACAGAGAAGTTGTTGGGAGTTGTTCTGTCTGCTTTTGTCTTGTGGTCATGGGAATAGGACTCGGGGCCTCCCCATGTTGAGTGACTCTATATACTCTAACCCTGTTTTTACCTTTTGGGTAAGGTGTACCCCCAGAATGACCTTGAACCTGCAGTCTTCCTACTGTCATTTAAAGCTAGTACTACAGGATCTTCCACCAGGCTTGGATCTTGGTTTTGCTGTTTTGTGTGCTTGAGACAAGGTCTCATTATAAAGCCTAGATTGCCCTCACACTCATGATCCTCCTGCCTCAGCTTCTTGAGCAGCTGGTATTGCAGACCTCCATGACCACATCCAGTGACAATTGTATTTTCAGACTTTTCTGTGAAGCCCCTTTTAGAGAAAAAGAGGTTCTGGGCCTCTCAATGCCCTTTCAGCCAACAACTTTTTCTCACTTGTTAAAGGATCTGGAATCCTTGTAAAATGTCACTAGAAAGCCACTGTCCTCCTACAACTCTCTTATTTAACATATGACAGCCTTGGGAGCTGGAGATGGGAAGGGGTTTTCCCAGAGGCATACAGCCTGCCAAAGCAGACAAGGTTTGGATCTCAGGACCCATGACTCTTGTACTGGTCCTGTGCCACTGGACAGTTGTGAACTCAGCTGTCCACCAGGTTGTCTACCCCTGCTTCGTCTGCCACATATCCACCATAGAAGAGCCCTGTGGGTTACTTCAAGGGACCAAAACCAAGTCTATTTCCAGTTTTTCTAATTACTGTTTCTTGCCATAGGCTGACTGGCTGCTCTGAGCCCAGAGGAGCTAGGGCACTAGAACAGAAATGCCAAGATGGTTGAGGGTGTTGGGACAGAGAGGACAAGCTTGGAAACAGGGTGAAGACAACCATATGGTGGTTGCACCACACAGCTGCAGCCCTGTGCTCCCAGTGACCATATCCTGGGCCATCTTCTGAAGCAGGCCAAGCCAGAAGGAACTTAGACAGCCTCCAAGGCAAGAGGTGCAAACAAGGAGCTGAAGAAGTCATAACTGTGAGACATATCAGCCTGCAGAGAATAGTCAAGAACAGGATTTATTGGCCTAGCAGATTGTATGCTCTGTACAGGAACATTGTGGTGGTCACATGCATGTACATGTGTGAACACACACTACAATATGCTCATTAGCTTGGGAAAAAAACCCACTAATATCATGGACTTAATTTGAGGCCCAGTTTTGAAGCCATACTTCAACCTGCTGTTCACCATGGCAATGTGGAGCCAAACAATAGCAGTATTCCCAGATATTCCTGATGTGAAACTTTTCATACATGGGTCTTCCAGTCTTCTTGCTTTCAAAGGAAATGGTCAGACCTCCTTCTAAACTCCAAAGTCCCTCAGCATTGCTGTGTGTGTGTGTGTGTGTGTGTGTGTGTGTGTGTGTGTGTGTGTGTGTGTGTGTGTAGTGCCTGTGCATGTCCTGGGTATGGATTCCATGGCCTCTGGTATGCTAGGCAAGTGATCTACCAGTGAGCTACATCACAGCCCAGTCTCTCAATATTGCTTATGCTCCTTGGTTCCCCTCCTGTCTCTTGTAATCACCTGAAGCCCCCGAAGGAAGTGAAAGTCTTAACTGAGACTAGCAGTTTCTGTTAGCCTCCTCTGTGTCATGGCCTGAGCTGTCTGCCCACTCTGAGACACAAGGCCTGAAAGCCACTTTCTCCTTTGTCTATGGCACTTGCCTTCTCCTGCCCAATCCTAAGTCCTCACTTTCTTCAATGAGCTTTTGGACCAGGATCCCCCACCCCTGATTCCAGGCAGCTTACAAGGTGTCGAGAATGTGGTATTGTTCATTTAAAAAATTATATTGATGAGGCTGGAGAGATGTCTCAAGTCTTAAATGGTGTTTGCTGCTCTTCCAGAGGAGCAGAGTTCAGTTCCCAGCATCTCCATCAGGCTGCTCACAATTGCCTGTAACTCCAACTCCAGGGGTTACAACACCTTCTTCTCACTTTCCTCACATGCACAGGTGTATACATATAAAAATATTATTATTTTCATCACTGAAGCATGGCAGCAGCTGCCACCACACTTGGAGATATCAATACTTGGACTTTTACGCTGTCATTTTGTGGATACTCTGGGAACCTTTAAATCTTGAGTTCACGTCATTTCACAGCATGATCATTAACCCAAGTAAAACAAAACAAACCCCATAAACTTCAAACCCTCCCCTGTGGGGATGAAAAGGTTTCCAAAGGACTCATGGCGGAAAGCACAAGCACGGAAGATGTCCTCCCCGGTGGGTGTAGAGCCTAAGCAGTTTGCAGAAAGCCCATTCACCAAAAGGCAGCCTTCTCATTCTTGCTCTGACATGCCCACATGCCCAGACATTTCTTCAGAAGAGGAAATTGTCTTGTCACCCACATGTTCCCTTTTCAAGTGTCAGCACCTTCCATTGTGGCAACAGAGGATGTGGCCTGCCACCTATTACCTAATCTGGTTCTTCATCTGAGAGACAGGAATGTAATTACTTATGGTGTGAGTGAAACCTGAGGGGTGACATGTGTGAAGCTTGTCATTCAACACCAGAAAATCAGGATATCTGGGAGTTCTGTTCTACCTCATTCCTAGGTGAGGGGAGAGTCTGGCATGTATGGGAATGCGCTGCAGGCTGCGGCAAGAAACTATATTAGTGGCTTGTCTTGTTGCTGTGACAAAATACTTGACAAAAACAATGAAAGGAAACCTTGGTTTTATCTAACAGTATGAAGCTACAGTCCACTGTGTAAGGAAGGCATGGTGATAGGAGAGTGAGGCCGCTGCTCACTCTGCATCTGCAGCCAGGAAGCAGAGAGAGGTGCACACTGGTGCTCACTTCAAATTCTCCTTATGGTGCAGTTCTGAACTCCTAGCCATGGAGCGGCTGTGATCACATTTAGAATGGGTCTTCTTCACACCGCAGTCAACACAGTGTAGAAACTCATAGACATGGCCACAACTTGTCTCCTGGGTAATTCTAGATTCTGTCAAGGTGACAATCAAGATTAACCATTACAGGTGGGAAGCCAAGGACAGGGTCTTTGCTCATCCCCACTTGGCTAGAGCCATCTTCCCTGTGCTGGGGAAGCTAAAGAAGACCCTTCTTCTATTGGAGTGACCAGGGCCATCTTTGCCTCCCATCCCTTTTGGAACTGCTGGCAGAGGGGAGAAGGTCTGTTTGAGAGCCTTTTAAGGAATTCTCAAGCAAGCAAAAACACGGGGGACATGGCCCTGGAGGCATTGGGAAATCCCACGCCAAGACATAGGGAGATCTGGATGTGAGTAGAAGCAGGTTTAGTGTGGTGAGAGGATCCAGACTGGGAGGGGAGAGTCCCTTCTCTGATGCCTGCCCCACCCCCTTCCACCATCATAATGAGCTTTCTTTGACTGGAGGCTTCCATGTGACTGCCACACTGCACAGAGCCACCCTTGGCCTTTCAAGGTTCCACAGGGCATTCCCTCCCCATGTCTGTAGAAAACAGATACACAGAGAGGGTAAGTCGCAAGCCTAATGCCCCACAGCTGGGCTCAAACTCCCATCTCAGCACCTGGTGCCCCTCTGGCTCCTCCCACCCCCAGACCTCAACAGTAGCAGGGTTCATTTTCTGCCTTTTGCTACCACCTGTGAAATACCTGAGTGTGTCTCTCCTTCCAGGCCATAGTCTGTGTGCCACCATGGAACTGGGGCTTCCTGAGGGCAGCTACCTGGAGCTACTTAACAGCAATGCCGACCCCCTACATCTCTACCACTTATCTGACAATATGGACCTGCCTGGGGAGGAGGAGACGGAGCTCACCTCAGGTGGGTCTTGTTCCCTGGGGCCTCTTCTGGCCTTCTCCATCCCTCTGCTGGCTGAGACAATCAGCAAGTGTCAGGACCATGGACAGCTCCCAATCCTTGACAATTGCGCCGACCCTCCCTTGGAGACTGTGGCCCTCCTTCCCCGACATCCCTTCTCCCAGACTCCCAGGCTTCATCCTAGGGGCTTTCCCCTTCCAGAGCCGGACACAGACACCATCAACTGTGACCAGTTCAGCAAGCTGTTGCAGGACATGGAAGGGGATGAAGAGACCCGGGAGGCCTATGCCAACATCGGTAAGAAGATGGTGGAGGCCAGAAAAAGAACAGAAAGGAAGAATTCTCCTTCACTGATCTCACTGGGTTATCTTGAACAATAAAAAAATCCCTTCCACCATAATCATAGCTGGGAGAGCAGCTAGGGCTGGAAAGGAAGGACTGCAGGGGGGAAGGAAGGAAGGGAGGACTAAGGGAGATGGGTCCCTTCCCTGATGACCATCAAGCCAATCACGTCTTTTATGGTACTTCCGTTCCTTTTCTTTCTGCTTTGTGTGTTATGTTTGTTTTATTTTATTTTTGAGACAGGATCTTATCTAGCCCAGTATGGCCTGGAACTCACTATGTATCCCAGGCCATTGGCATGCACCATATCCAGCTCTACACTTCCATTTCCATATTCTTTTCTGGTTTCTGCTCCTCTTTTTTCTACAAATTCCACACCATATACCCTTCCCCAGCACCTAAGCCAATGAGTCTGGCATTGCAGCAGCTGACACTGGCAGTCTGTTAATTGCTACACTTTATGATCACACTGAAGCCTTGGAACATCAATGAAGTCCATGATGTGAGAATCTCCTGATTACGGATGAGGAAATTGAGGTCAAGAGAGAAGAAGCAGACTCAAGCCTGACTCAGATAGCCAGAAGCAGATCTGAAATCCTCCTCCAAAGCTTCTGCACTTCCAAGTCCTGACTTAAATATGAAAGGAAGTGCCTGAGATTGAGCAGGTTGCTAAGGCATGTCTAGCTTTAAAAGGAGATTCAGGGCCAGCAGGGTAGCTCTGTAGGTTAATGGCACTTGCTACCAAACCTCATAACCTGAGTTTAAGCACCAGGACTCAGGTAGTGGAAGGAGAGATCTAATTCCTACCAATTGCCCTCTGACCGCTACACACATTCCATGACACTGGTGCATGTGAGTGCACTCACTCAAATGTGCACACACACACACATGTGCAACACACCCATACACACACACACCATGCATACACGCACACCACACACACAAATGCCCAACACACACACACACACACACACACACACACACACACACACCCCTACATACATACATGCATAGTGAGTTCCAGGCCATGCAAACTTCTTCCCACTAGCTCCAAGTCATGTGCCACTTCATTTAATTTACCATCATTTGTGGGTTAAGGATTGGGTACCATATTGAATGCTTCAACACCTTCTAATCATTTGTGAACATCTCTGGATAGTATACACTATTTCTTCTCTTCATTTAGATGAGGAAACAGTAACCAGAAACATTAAAGTAACCAACCCAAGGTTGTCCAGAAAATAGAGCCAGTGGAGATAAAGGCAGAGTTTGAATTCAACCCAGTGCCAGCGTTACTACTCTGCTGAGCTACTTTATGATGGTAGATATGTGTTCATGGGCACACACTAGTCATTTAATAAAACAAAAGTACACAAAAGGCAATGCTTTTTTGTTCATTAATTCAACTTACACTCAGTAACACTTACAGAGACCTTACTGTGCAGCAGGCCCAGGAGATTGCAGCTCCTAGGTGCATGGCCTGAGGCTTGATGCACAGTAGGACTTCCAGGAGACCTTTTGACTGACTGTATGCTTCCTCCCCTGGCAGCGGAGCTGGATCAGTACGTGTTCCAGGACACCCAGCTGGAGGGCCTCAGCAAGGACCTCTTCAGTAAGTCGGGAGAGGCTGATATTGGCTTAGCCTCAGTTTCTTCCTGTCCTGAAGAAATGAATGGCAGCCACACGTTCTCACTGTCGAGACAGTAGTGGCCTCACTGGGGTCTCTGTGATTGTGATGTGGGTCTCTGGTGTTTCTCCAAAGTAGACCACATTGGAACAGAGGAATGTTTCAGTGAGAACATGGAGGTCCCTGTAGAAGCAGGACAGAGGCCACCGAAGAGACGTGAGTTAGCCCCTCCTTGACCCTGCCTGGCCTTCCTCAGATCTAGTCCCTCCTTACCTCTGCAACCTGCTGTGGTCCCAGTTGCTGTCCTGTCTACCTCCCCACTACAACCCCCTACCTCTGCTCCCTGGGAGGAAACAGACAGCTCAAGAGAAAACGTCCCTCTTCCTGGAGGAGTCTATGTGGGCTGCTTTGGTTCCTGTTCCTCAGTGACCTTTGAGTCCTGCTTCCTCTTCCTTTCGGGTCCCTGAGGGAGGTCTCTTTAAGCAATGGTTATGGTCTCAGTGGGTTGTAATACTGGATATGCTGTTTATGGGCTATGTGACCTTGGCTAGGTACCTACACCTCTCTTGAACCTCCTGCCCTGTCTCTTGACTCCTTAGTCTGTCCTCGCCTGGTGGCCATTGATGCTTTGCCATGCAGATTAGGGCATCCCTGCCTTGCTGACACTCCAGCTGTCATTGGATACATTCTGAGAGGCCTGTGTGGATCACCCTCCTACCTCTTGTGGCTCACCGTGGAGAGACCCTACTTTGGTTACACTCACTTTCCCTCATGCTGCAGCCCATGCAGACTGCCCCACTGTTCCTTGTTTCCACAGTTAGGTCCTTCATTTAAAGCCTTTAGCCCACCTCATCCAGGAAGTCCTCCCTGACCACACATCCACATAAAGTCACTGTCTTATTTATGCTTATTTTTCTTTTTTAATGTATTCATTTTATGTGTATGTGTGTTTTACTTGCATGCATGTCTGTGTACCACATATGTGTTTGGTGCCTACAGAAGCCAGAAGAGGTCATAAGATCCTCTAAGACTGGCATTACAGATGGTTGTGAGCTACCATGCGGGTTCTGGGAATCGAACTCAGGTCTCATGGGAGAGTAGATGGTGCTCTGAGATATCTCTCAGAGGTTTATATCTTGTGTGTGATTGGTGTGTGTGTGTGTGTGTGTGTGTGTGTGTGTGTGTGTGTGTGTGCCTTTTGAATGCCAGGCAAACACTCTACATTAAACTACACTCTCAGGCCCTGTATATTTATTTACTGGTGGGCACAGGAATTCGGTATGTGCTGTACATTTAATGTGCTAAGAATGGACAGCGGCAGAGCTTGCCTCCAGCCCCATCCCTTCCTTAGCCCTTCTCCCTGAAGGCAGTTTGTATACCCCATTCCTTTTGAACCTTGTAAAAACACTCTACTCTCCTGCTCCACCCCACCACACAATCACACATATCAACACACATATGAACATACACTTACATATATGCACACCGTATACAGACATGTACATATGCATAAACACACAAGCATGCGTGCAAATGTGCATATACATATGCACACACTGTTTCACTCTCTGCTCTTACCATGTCTGGGAGGGCATTTCTAGATTGCTTCTGGAGAACACAGAATGTTCCTGCCCCACTTCTCCTCTTCCTCCTCTCTCCTTTCTTCTCTTCCTTCATCTTCACAAGTTTCTTATTATTGTGTGTACGGGTGCGCACATGCTATAGTGAGCATGTCCACGCCAGACAGTTTTCTGGAGTCAGTTCTCTCTTTCCACCTTTCCGTGGTTCTGGGGGTTGAATTCAGATATCCTGGCTTGCGTTACAAGTGTTGTACCCACCGAGTCACCTCACAGTCCCCTACTCCTCTCTCTTTCTTTCTTGTCCCCTGCTCTCCCTTCCTCCCCCTCCCTCTACACTGAGCTAAGGTATGAGTCCCTCTGTGAGTGAGCATATCTCTTCTCTTCTTGAATTCCACAGTTAATATTGGGATCTGCTTGCCTTGAGCTGCTCCACCCACTGGTAGATTCTGTGATCCATCTACCCATCTTCTTTTGGTGCCTTCCTAGTAAATTACAGCCTACAGTTCCCTTTGCCACATGCCTGCCAGCATCCTGGCTCTTTCACATCTGGCCCAAGGTGGGGCCTTGGGTGCCACCTCCACAGTTGGCTGTATGGCCTCTTGCTGAGGGGCATGGTTTTTGCCACTGATCTGTTAAGACATTTTCTGCTTTCCACTGTTGTCTGCGAGGGGACATGTGCATGCAAGGTTAAGGCTCTCTGGCAGGCTATGGGGGCAATCTGGGCAGAGCCCAGAGCTCCAGTGGTTTTGTGGCTCCACCCTCACCTGATCTGTGGTTCTGTGGCTCTGCTTCTCCCCTTCTCTCACCTACCTGCCAAGATTCTTATAGCTGAGACTTGAGTTCAAGCACCAGAACTGGCCAGCATCCTGACAAGTAGGGAAGAAGTGGGACACAGTTTCTCAAGTCCTCACACAAGGCCACATGACCAGTTGGGAATCAAGAAATCACATGGCTGGGGACATTCCAATCCAAGGCCACTGATCTAGGGCTTCTCTCTGCAGGTTCCCTAGAAGAGCACCCTACGGACCCAAAGCACAGGAAGCTTGGTGAGATGGGCAGGTGGTCCAGCTTCCATTTGGGGGAGCATAGGCCTCCTAAAATACAGCACAAGCCAGCACTGAGCACCAGGGATTGGGGATGGGAGTAGTTCAGGGATAGATTGTGTGCCTATTGTGTGCCCTGGGTTGAATTCTAGCATCGTGGAGGAAGGAGGAAAGAAGGAGGGGGTGGAGGGATGACAGGGGAAGACAGAGAGAAAGGAAGAGAGGATAGAAGGGAAGGAAAGCCAAAGAGAGAGACAGCGAAAGGAAGGAAGACAAGGAAAGGAAGGAAGCAAGGAAGGAAGGAAGAAGGAAGGAAGGAAATAAGTAGCTCAGAAAGGTGAAGTCATCTGCCCAAGATCACACAGCTATGAGAAGTGAGTGGGGTACAAACTGAGATGGTGATTCCTCAGCCTGCACTATGGTGAGAAACTTATCTCCCCCCCCAAATCTCTCTCCTAGCAGCCTCCATGAATCCCCCCAAGATGATGGAGAGATATCCTCAGTCTTTAGGGAGCCCAAACCTGATGAGGAAGGCAGGATTTGTTCCATCTTACAGCTCTCTCATTCAGTAGAGGAGAGTGCTGTGCTCACCCTCAGGGGAGCATGTGGTACAGTCCCTGCCCTTCTTTGGACAGAGCCTGAAGGCTGAGGGAGGTGCTTATTCTCCTAAGGGCTCAGCTGGGGAAGAAGGGAGGGAGGGGCTGGAGCTACAGGCCCAGTCATAGGCTTCTCCAGTCTGATCCTGGGGTTCCTAGAGAGTCCCCTGAGTCCAGCCACAAGGAAAGGATCAGCAGCTGACCAACCCAGCTACTTAGGGCAGAGGGGGCAGGCATTTACTGTCCTGGGAGCCCTACCCCACTCCAGGTGCCCATCCAACTTCTAACCCACCCCCTTCCCCACAGCTGAGCCCTCTATGGTGCCCATGCTGACCGGGAGCTTCCTGATGGGTCCAGCAAGCCTCTCCACCATGCCCTACCTACCACCTGCTCTGTCCAATCAAGAACCAGTGTCCAGCCATATACACCTAGAAGGAGCTACTCAGACATTTGGTATGTTGAGTGCCTGGAGAAAATGTGCCCCCTCCCTTCTGGCAGAGGAAGTAGCACCAGAAAGGGGCCACTGAAACAGGAAGCCCTTCCCCTATTGGGTCATCCCTTCCCACCCACACCTTGCTAGAAAGCACACCTGGCTCACAAGAAAACATCCTGCTGAGGGAATTTTCCTGCCAGTCTTGTTCACTTCTCACCCCTTCTTGTCTCTGTCAGCCACCCTGCTAGGCTACAGGGACACCACCAAGGGCAAGACAGGCTCAGCTGCTGCTCTTGGAGAGATGAGAGCCCCTGGAGAGGGAGTTGAACATCCACCCCACATTACTAAACAGAAGTAAAAAGATGGGTGCTGTGGACGGTCCCCCCTCACTGCCTCTGTCTCCTGCAGTGCCCCCCTCTAGATCCTCACTGAACTGTTTGGATCTCCCCGTTGGACACATCCAGCTCCTTCCCACTCTGCCCCAGGGACTCTGGCAAATCTCAGGAGCTGGCACAGGACTCCCCAGTGTTCTGATCTACCATGGTGAGTGTGCAAATTAGCATCACAACTGAGGGTCTCTCCTTCCTCCCTCCCTCTGACCTGTTCTCTCCCATTGCAGGCACTTGGAATTGTGACATAGAACCTATTCATGACTCCTCCCTCCCCAGAACACCTTTCTTTATCTTCATTTCCCCCAAAAGTCAAGGTGGTCTGTATGTGTGACCAGTCTTGCAGCCTGCTGTGTGTCACTATTTTCTCTCCCTTTAGTTTTTCCTCCTTTAAAAAAGTTTCTGGGAAAAGTCAGTTCACACTCCACAGTTTGGTTAAACTACAGGTGACCCAGTGCACCTCTGGTTCTTACATTCCTTTTTCCTTTGGTGTAGGTGAGATGTCCCAGGTCAACCACACAGTCCCTTCAGGCAGCCCTACTGTCTCCAGCCTCCCCAAATCCCCAGACCGACCCTGCTCCACCAGCCCCTTTGCACCATCTGCAGCTGACCTGCCCAGCATGCCCGAGCCTGCGCTGACCTCCCGTGTAAATGAGGCTGGTGAGGACTGGGGTCCTGAAAAAGGCCTTGGGGATGGGACAGAGGGCTTGGGGAGGGATATTTTTGACAGTCATAGCTGCCTGAGGAGATGGGCAAGTCACACTCATGGGTGACTGGTCATGAAGGAGGGTGTGTGAAGCAGGGAGTGTGACTGAGTGTTGGGTGACAGATGTAACATGTGTGTCCATCCAAGCAGAGCCACAAGCCACAAGCCTCCTGTTGATCCTTAAGGTGCGAAAGCAGACCTGGCATGCCTGGGCCTTCTGAAGCTGGAAGCTTGCGTCCCGTGTTTTTAATTTTGCTTTTCTTTGTTTGGAGACAGGGTTTCGCTGTATATAGCCTCAGCTGGCCTGCAACTCGATATGTGCCTATTAGATTGACTGTAAACTTGCAAAAATTCCCCTACCGCACCCGGCCAAGGGCTGGGATTACAGATACTACAATGCCTCACCACACTTTTTAAAACAATGTTAAAAGATGTTTGTTTTTAAATACAGCTGGCTAAAATCAAGATCCCATATACAGTTTTGAGCTGCCTTCTTGTAACCTGGCCTTGGAGGCTCAGGCATGTGGCTCTGTCCTCTTGATGCCCCCAATACTGACAGGAGTCCTTGGGAACCTTCCAGACTCTAATTGACATTCACTTCTCTATCCTCAGAGGACACAACATCCCTCTCCCCATGCCAAGAGGGTCCTGAGTCTTCCATCAAGCTTCCGAAATGGCCAGGTGAGCGACTGTTGACCCCCTCTGTCCTGGAGACCTGAAATGAAAGCTAAAATAGCACTTCACTTCATTTCTGCAATGCTTAGTCAGCCCCTTGGAAGCTCACTTGCTCATTCATTCATTGTTTATTCATTCATTCATCACCCAGTTGGTTTCCCCACTGTGCAACATCTATCCAGCCATTCAAGCAGTAGTACACAGGACATACTTCCTTATTCCCAGGGGTCACCTGTGGGAACTGATCTTACATTTTTTATGGAAATGATGAAAGAGGGGAGAGGGAGTGGGTGAGTGAAGGAAGGAAGTGTGGAGCAGTAGAAGGGAGGATGTCAGGGAAGTGAGAGAAAGCTAAGCCACTGGATGTTTCTTCCAAGTGCACTCCTAAGCTTTGCATTGATGCCTTCCTAGCCCCAGTATCACCTCTATTTCACAGATGAATTAGCCTGAAGCATAGCAGGGCATACTGATTTTCATGGCCACACCAATGGAGGAGCCCCGATTTGAACTCAGACATATGGGCTCCCAAGTCTCAATTCCTTTTATTGCTGTTGCTGTCATTTGTTTTGAAACAGAGTCTCACTATGTAGCTCACACCCTTGAACTGACTTTGTAACTCAGGCTGGCCTCAGACTCACATCCCTACTGTCTCAACCTCTTGAGCACTAAGATTATAGGTGTGCAATACCATGCCCAAATCTTCCTTCCTTCCTTCCTTCCTTCCTTCCTTCCTTCCTTCCTCCATCCCTCCATCCTTCCATTGCTTTCCTTCTTTCTTCTTTTCTTTCTTTCCAAATTGCTGTGTAGCTGAGGAAAACTTTGAACTTCTGATCTTCCTGCCTCTACCTCCCAGTTCCTGGGATTATGGCATGTATTACCACATTGCTGGTTTTGAATCCCAGGGATTCATACTCACAAGGCAAGTACCCTATCAACAGCCAAGACCTCACCAGCCTCACTGTCTTTTCAAGGGCCTTAAATTACATTTTATGTATTTATTTATTCACTGTGTGTGTGAATATGTGTATATATGTGTGTGCATGTTTGAGCATCGTATACATGTCAGAGGACATCTTGCAGGAGTCAGTTTTCTCCTTCCACCATGAGGGCCCAGGATGGAACACAGGTTTGTAGGGTTAGCAGGAAGTACATTTGCTCACTGAGCCATTTCATCAACCCCACCCCTGTCTTTTTAAACCTTCATTTTAGCTAGTTTATATTCATTGTTAAAATGATGGAGTTCATTGTGACAATTTCATACATATATATTTTGTTCTTACTCACACCCCTTATCATCTATTGCTCCATTTCCCCTCTCCCAATGGTTTCCTTTCTTCCACTAAATACTCTTCTATTTTCATGCTCTCTCTCTAGATATATATCATATCTAGGCCTATGTATTGCGCTCTCTCTCTCTCTCTCTCTCTCTCTCTCTCTCTCTCTCTCGCTCTGTGTGTGTGTGTGTGTGTGTGTGTGTGTGTGTTTCCAAGCTCCACATATGAAAGAAAACATGTAATATATGTCTTTCTGAGCCTGGCTCATCTCACTTAACAGGATGAGTCCACAAACAATCAGTTTCCCTTCCAAACCCCACAGGGATGAGTGGCCCAGCCTAGTGTGTGACTGAAGGGGCTGAGGAGCAGCTCAGTGGTAGAGCATTTGTCTCAGCAAGCTTAACACCTTGGGTTTCATCCACAGTAAACACCCCCCCCACACATACACACCACAGAATAGCCAGATATAGTTGAATTTGGGGTCTTCCTGGGCTACAAAGTAAAATTCTGAACAAAAAAGATACAATATATATATATCAAGATCATCCTCAGTACTTAGTGAGTTCAAGGGCAGTCTGATATGAGACCCCATCACACAAATAAATAATTTAAAGGCAGAAATGACTGGATAAAAGAGAAAAATTAGTGGGTGAGCTGGAAACTGTGAGCAGTAGATGGAAACACTGCAGAGGGAGGCTCTGGCCACCCTCCCCTTCCCCAACCCCTCACCCTGCTAACACACTCTGGTTCACCCTTGGCTTCTGCAGAGTCTGTGGAGCGGTTCCAGCACTCCCTGAAGGACAAGTACCAGGTGGAGCCTGAGAACCTGAGCAGTCCCCTGGTAGCCGTGGAGCTGGTGCGGGCCAGGTTGGAGAGAGGCAGCAACAAGAGCCAGGAAAGAGAGCTAGCCACTCCAGACTGGACAGAGCGCCAGCTAGCCCATGGTGGCCTGGCTGAGGTGCTTCAGGCTGTTGTTGATCGCCGGCGGCCACGAGAGACACAGGTGGTTGCTGTGCTGGGCAAGGCTGGCCAGGGCAAGAGCCACTGGGCCCAGACGGTGAGTCAGGCCTGGGCCCGTGGCCAGCTGCCACAATATGACTTTGTCTTCTATGTCCCTTGTCACTGCTTGGATCACCCAGGGGACACCTACCACCTGCAGGATCTGCTCTGTCCCCCAAGCCTGCAGCCACTGGTCATGGATGACGAGGTCTTAGGTCACATTGTGAGGCAACCAGACCGGGTCCTGCTCATTCTAGATGCTTTTGAGGAGCTGGAGGCCCAAGATGGCCTCCTGCATGGACCATGTGGACCTCTGCCCCCAGAGCCCTGCTCCTTTCGGGGACTGCTGGCTGGGCTTTTCCAGCGGAAGCTGCTGCGCGGCTGTACCCTGCTCCTCACAGCCCGGCCCCGGGGCCGCCTGACTCAGAGCCTGAGCAAGGCAGATGCCATCTTTGAGGTGCCCAGCTTCTCTACTAAGCAGGCGCAGACTTACATGAGACACTACTTTGAAAACTCAGGGACAGTGGGGGACAAAGACAAGGCCCTGGGCCTCCTGGAGGGCCAACCTTTTCTCCTCACCCATAGTCACAGTCCTGTTCTGTGCAGAGCCGTGTGCCAGCTCTCCAAGGCCCTGCTGGAACAGGGCACAGAGACCCAGCTGCCTTGCACACTTACAGGACTCTATGTTGGCCTGCTAGGCCCTGCAGTCCGAGACAGTCCTCCAGGGGCCTTAGCTGAGCTGGCCAAGCTGGCCTGGGAGCTGGGCCGCAGACACCAAAGTATCTTGCAAGAGACCCAGTTACTATCAGTGGAGGTGAGGACCTGGGCTGTGACCCAAGGCTTGGTGCAGCCCACCCTGGGCACTACAGAGACCCATCTGGCCTTCTCCAGTTTTCTGCTACAGTGTTTCCTGGGTGCTGTATGGCTGGCACAGTGCAATGAAATCAGAGACAAGGAGCTGCCACAGTACTTGGCCTTGACCCCAAGAAAAAAGAGACCCTATGACAACTGGCTGGAGGGTGTACCACGCTTTCTGACTGGGTTGGTTTTCCAGCCTCAAGCTCACTGCCTGGGAACTCTGGTGGAGCCTGCAGTGGTAGACAGAAAACGGAAGGTTCTTACCAGGTACCTGAAGCGCCTGCAGCTGGGGACACTGCGGGCAGGGCGACTACTGGAGCTCCTGCATTGTGCCCATGAGACACAGGAACCTGGGATTTGGGAGCATGTGGTACACCAGCTCCCTGGGCACCTCTCCTTCCTGGGCACCCGGCTCACACCCCCAGATGTGCACATACTGGCCAGGGCCCTAGAGACAGCAAGCCAAGACTTCTCCCTGGACCTTCGTCAGACTGGCATTGAGCCTTCTGGACTGGGGAACCTCGTGGGACTCAGCTGTGTCACCAGTTTCAGGTGTGGGCAGGACACAGGGCAGGTGTGGACCCCGGTTCCACAAGCACAATGTCAGGTGGGACAGAACAGTCCCCTCCAATTACAAGATGATAATACTGAGGGTCAGAGGAGGTAACTGTTGCTACTAGCCACATAGCCTGTAGGGAGAGTGTCATTCTTCTAACCAATGTTTGAATACCTGCCGTGTGCCAGGCACTGGAACACATTTAGAATCTCAGTGTAGCCCCGAGTCCAGAATGTTTCTGTATTTCAGTTGCCACCAGATGCCACCATTTTCTCATGATCGAAGACATGGACTCCCTCTGTGTCTCTGCCCCCTGTCTCCTCTTTCTCACTGCTCTTTGTATTTGGGCAGGAGGAACGCAACCTTCCTAGATCTCAGGCTCCAATAGTGCCTGCAGCCCTGCAAGGGCACCCTGTACCTCAGGATGGGGTCTAAATTCATTCATTTGACTCATTCAAGTCCATTTTGCAGTTTGCTTGAGCATTTCAGGTTATCTCTAGAAAAACTTCCTCCCACATTGCCACTAAACAGATTTTACTCAAGTTATAAGGTCTGCCACAGGTGTGCCCAGAATTTAGCACTAACTTTCCTGGCAGCCAGAGAAAAATTGTGTCTTTTCAAGGAAGGTAAAACAATAAGGGCAGATGAGGTCTTGGGAGGTGGAGATCAAGCTAAGAAAGGGAAGGATCTGAGGAGGTGGGAGGTCCTTTCGTGGAGCCACACCCCATTGCAATCTAGCCTGGCCACTGTGCCTGGGTCTGAGGCCCTCCCTCCACAGGGCCGCCTTGAGTGACACAATGGTGCTATGGGAGTCCCTACGGCATCAGGGAGAGCCCCAGTTACTCCAGGCGGCAGAGGAGAAGTTCACCATTGAGCCATTCAAGGCCAAGTCTCCAAAGGATGTGGAAGACCTGGACAGCCTTGTACAAACCCAGAGGTGAGGAGGCGAGGAGTAGGAGGTGGCTCTAGGCTCTGCAGGCTACTTATGTCTGTCACATACATGTCCTGTCCACAGAGCTGCCCGGTCCCAACCCCCTACCCTCCCCAGTATGGCCACCCAGGCCCTCTGCTGTAGCCCCACCCAGGCAGGGACCCTGATTTTGCCCTTTGCTCTATTCAAAGCCTGATACCCTGTACCAGGTCCTTCACTAAAGCCATGGAGACATCACCGGCCAGGGGGTTAACAAGGATCTCTTCAGCATCTGCCAGCTGAAGGGACCCTAGAACAAACCCTCAGGCAGCCCAGACACATACCAGAGCCAAGGTGCAGAGGACAAAGAATTGTGGTTGAGTCTCTCTCTCCCTCTCTCTCTTCCATCCCCCTCCCCCTTCCTGGACCTCACACATGCTATGCAAGTACTCTACCACTGAGCTACACCCCCACATTTAGTTTTTATTTAGAGACAGGGTTTTACTAGGTTGTCCAGGCTGGCCTTGAATTGTATATGTAGGTGAAGCTGGCCTCCAATTTTTCATTCTCCTCCCTCATCCACTCAAATAGCTGGTAAAATAAGCTTATGCCACTCTCCCTGGCCCTAAGGTTGCTCTTTTTAAATAGTTTTATTATTATTTATTTACATGTACATGTGTGTATGTCTGTATATGTGCATGTATCTGAGGTTAAGGCCATCCCCTGGAGCTGAAGTTACAAGCTGCCTGATGTGCTGGGAATTGAACTCTGGTCCTCTGCAAGAACAGTACATGTTCTTAACTACTGAGCCATCTCTCCAACTGTCTACAGCTTTGGTTTTTTGTTGTTGTTTGTTTGTTTTGTTGTTTTGGTTTTTCGAGACAGGGTTCTCTATTGTTTTGGAGCCTGTCCTGGAACTCGCTCTGTAAACCATGCAGTCACGAACTCACAGAGATCCGCCTGCCTCTGCCCCGCCCCCAGTGCTGGGATTAAAGGCATGCGCCACCAATGCCCAGCCTCGCGTTTTCTTTTTTTAAGTGTTTTATTTTTAATTATGTATATGTATGTGTGTCTGAGTGCAGTGCCTGTAGAGGCCAGAAGAGGGCATCAACCCCCTTTGAGCAGGAGTTACAGGCAGTTAGGAGTCAAACTGGGTCTCCACAAGAGCAGTACATACTCAACCACTGAGCTATCTCTCCAGCCCCCAAAGGATGTTTTATTTTTTCTTTATTTCAGTGGAGGGTCAACAACAGCTCCTAAGGAAGCAGCCCTGGGGGCTGGATGCGGGCAGTGGGGAATACTGGTGGGCCTACACCTACTTACCGAAGCGCTTTCTCTGTAGGCTAAGAAACCCCTTGGAGGATGAAGCTCTGGATCTTCCTGCCATCCGGCACCTTAAGAAGCTAGAGTTTGCGTAAGTGAAGGGTGGGTGACTGATTGCCTCAGTGACCCAAGGTTGTTTCTGGCATCTTAGTTGATCTTGGGCCAGAGGCATGGTGAGCAGGAAGGGAGAACTGGATGACCCCTGCCCTCTCACTTACCACTAAGAAAACAGCTTCCACCTGCTGGGTGTGACCTGTCTGGGTAAAAGCAGGAGATGCTCAGAACAGCAGAGAACTGGTCCATTTTCAGGACAACAAATATGCAGCCCCCACCTCACCCCACATACTCACATACTCACACACTCACGTGCACACATATAACACACACTTGCACACACACACATGCCTTACACATATACTCACACATGCATTCACATACACACATATAACACACACACTCACATGTACACTCAGACACACATGCATGCAAAACATACACACACATATGCACACATGTGTACACATACACACAGGAGCTCATGCTTATTCACTCATCAAAAAGCTCTTTGAAGAGCAGAGACTGTTGTCCATGATGAACATGTGCCAGCAAGTTCCCTTGCAGGGTAGTCTGGGGGACTTCCTGGAGGAGGTGACATCATCACAGAAACTTGAGAAATTGGGAATGAGCTCACAGGGATGGAGAGGAAGTCCTGAAGGACTTGTGCAACATGGAGCCACAATCCCAGTGTGCCCCAGACCATAACCTCACACAGAAGGGTGTCCCAAGGACCTCAGTTTGGGTCCTTTTCTTGCTGAGCTAGGAATTTTACCCTGCTCCTGTGCCTGGCCACATGGACTCCTCCAGGGGAGTGCACAGCCTGGCCACTGCCCTATGAACCCTACCCTGCCTCATACTTGCTTCTCTGGGTCTTCCTTTAGTTAGAAGGATCCTTTCGAGAAATTTGGGTATGTAACTCCAGTGGGTTAGGGTTCAGCTTGCCTAGGCCTGGTCTGGTTGGGCACTAAGAGTTCTGCATTCTTAGGAACCACTCCCTCTCAGCAAACTGGGACAGTTGATCCCCTAAATTATGCAGCCAGGCCTGGGAGCTAACACCCTGAGCAGTGCCACCAGGGTAGGAGGAATGGATGATGGGGCACCATAGGTTCTAGGGAATCCTAGGTATCTGGGGAGTTGCCCCCCAGAACATTGGCCATGAAGAGCCCTGAATGTTGTATTTGGGTCTGGCTGCCTGAACAGCTCTTCCCCACAATGCTGGGGATCAAGCCTGGGGCCTTGTACATATACTAGAAAAGCACTCTACCACTGAGCTATGTCACCAACCCACTTTTTGCTTGCTTGTTTATTTATTTGTTATAGAGAGTTTCATGTATTCCAGGCTGACTTCAAACTTGCTGTATAGCCAAGCCAAGCTGTACAACCTTGAACTTCTAAGCCTCCTTCTTCTACCTCCCAAATGCTGAGATTATAGGCAAACTCCACCACACAGGCTTATGCAGTACAAGGAATAGAACCCAGGGCTTTTGTGAGTGCTAGACAAGTACTCTACATTCCCAGACCATGTGTTTCTTATTTTGAAAAGGAGTTTTAATATTTAGCCCAGTCTAGCCTTGAACTTTTGCTCCCCCTTGCATCAGCCCCACCAAGCACCCAGGATTGCAGACATGCTCCAGCAGCAGCTTTAACGACGATTTCCAACTGCAAAGTGTTTTTACTCCGTTATCTAAGATAACGGGAGGACACCGATGTCATCTCTCATTTACAAATAGGCATGATGAGATCTGAGAAATGGCGTGGTTTCTTCAAAGTCATAAGCACCAGGTTAGCTTGCCTAACTGACTAACAAGCTCTGTCAGTGTTTGGTCTTGTTAGAGTTGAGATCTGTCCAACCATGTCTGGCCATACAGACCTGTAATGCCAGCCCTTGGGAAGCTAAGGTGGGAAGATAACAAGCCCAAGGCCACTTAGGACTACACAGGCAAACCTGTCTCAAAGATCCTCCGTGCCTCATGGGGAGAGTTGCCCAGAAGATAGTCAGTGGACAGATTTGGAAACTGAGGCTAGGCGATGTTAGTGATTTGCCTTCAGTCCCAGCTGGTCACTCACTGGCTGCCAGCTCCCCTACACCCCACAGATAGCCAAGTCCCTCTTGTTTTCAACAGGACATAAGATGCCAAATTTGTACAGAGGTAAAAATATTGCTGAAAAGAGGAAATGTCTGAAGACAGCCACAGGGTGCTTTCTGGCTTTGAATTATTTTCAGCTTAAAAAGCCCCTCCCTGTGGGTCGGAACTGCGCTCTGGGTACCAGAAAGGGCTGCAGAGTGGAACAGACTAGAGCCAGACCAACAGCCACCTATAGGCTGGAAGCCCTGAGACAATTCTGAGGAAGAAAGGAAGGAAACAAAGGACTATTTTGGGTGTCTAGTGAAACCACCTCCACCTCCATGTTCCTCACCCTGCAGGCCTCTGTCTGTCTGATCAGTCCAGATAAAACCCCCAAATATATGTGAGGTGGGGGTGGAGACATGCATCTCAGTTGCCAGCATACTTACTAGTATGCACAAAGCCCCGGTTCAGTCCCCAGCTCTACCTACATGGCATGGTGACACTCACCTGCTGTCCCCTCTGAAAGCAGAGGCAGGAAAACCAGGGGCTCTGACACAGCAAGTTGAAGGCCTAGGCTAGAGAGCTTATCAAAATAAAATAAAGTAAAATGAAATTAAACTTGAAAAGGCACAGGTTCATCATCAGCTCATCACCCCATCTCCCTTATTTCCTCTCCATTACATCCCCAGTCCCTTCCTATCCTATGCTCCTTCTCCCGTCTTTCAGGCTGGATCTGAAATGAGATCCAGTACGAGGCCTTTGCTGTGCCTGTGCCTCTGTCCTGAATGCTCTCCCTTACACAGCAGATCCACCCAGACCCTCAATTCCCTCTGTTCATCTTCTTTTTTCAAACTTACGTTGTTTGTTTGCTTATATATTTAGGTATATGTGTGTCCATGCATGCCATTGTGTGCCTGTGGAGGTTAGAGGACACTCTGCAAGAGTTGGTTCTCTCTGTCATGCTAGGGATCAAGTTCAGGTCGCCAGCCTGAGTGCAAACACCTTGACCCACTGACTGTGTATCTCAGGGTTCTGAGGCCCTTTCTGAATTTCTGCACCATGAATTTGTCCGTAGCATCTCTTCTCTCTCAGTCCAGACCATGAGCTAATTGCTTTGATAATCTGTCTCCCCTCAATGCCAGCTCTGCGAAAATGGGAACTTGTGTTTGCTCAGGGCTTTTTTGCCTTGCTCTGGTACCTGGCAGACAGCAGTGAGATGAGGTAATAAAGAATGAGGTGATGATGATGGTCTTTCTCTTTCTGACCGCCTTCTGCAATCCGGGATAAGTACTGAATGACCCAAGATCCAAAGGTGAAGGAAGGGATCACATGGGCCCCAGCACAAGGCTGAGCCCAGCTCTGATCACTGGCCTTTCCCTAAAGCTCCAGGTTGCAGAGATTGTGTCCCAGACATGGAGGACATTCCAGAATGAATTTAAATTAACTATGCACAGTAAACTTTTGATTTTCACTATGTTCATTTAAATAAACAAATCTTTAAGTGGTAGTGTGCCTTTAGCTAGCACTCAGGTACTCAGGGAGCTGAGGCAGGAGGTTGATGAGGTCAAGGCTGGGCTGGGTTTGAGAGAGAGAGGGGGGGAGGGAGGGAGGGATGAAGGGAGAGAGGGGAGAGAGAGAGAGAGAGAGAGAGAGAGAGAGACCCAAAAAAAGAATCATAAGAGCCCTCACTGATGTTGCCATAATTTTATCAATGACTATTTCAAAATAATTCATGCCAGTGACACAGCCAAGCTGAGCCCACAGGAGGAAAGAACCATCTCTTGTGGTTGTCCTGTGCATGCATATAATGAATAAATAAGCAAATGAACTAATTAATTAATTAACTAACTAACCAAATTTAAGCCCAGGGCTAGGATAATGGCTCAGAAGTTAAGAGTGCTTGCTGCTTTACCAGGGAC